GCAATCTGTCCTAGTAAACGCCTCTCTTCGTCGCGCTCACGGGGGATACATGATTCCTGCATTGGTAGTTGAGCTTCAGCAACAGGAAACGCGAAGGCACGAGGGCTACTGACCGTCGCGCAGCAAACACGTCGTCAGCGGCACTCCAGTATTGATACAGCGTGCGTCCCTCCAGTCTCCGGACAGCTTGATCCAGACTAGACTTCCCAAATCTCCCTGCGCGTGCGTAGCGCGGGTTTCCCTCTCGAAAGACCTGTGAAAGCGGGGAAGGTCGAGGCGCAGACGCGGGAGTCGCGAAACGATCGGCGTTGGCCATGTCAACAGACAACAAAGCCTATCGACGAACGATCACCACCAAGACCAAAGTGACACCACCGCGATCGCGATACGACGCCCCGCGGGAGCTCGTTGCTGTTCACCTTGAGGTAGCTTGGGTCCCCAAGTACGAGCGACTGGCGCTTATTGGCCCTGCCAGCGGTGTTCGACTCCGTCGTCATCGGTGTCGTGTGAGGCGCACCCACGAGAAGCGAAGCGAGAACCATTCCCGCCGCCATGCGAAATCCTCCTTCTGAGCCGCGCCGGCAGCAGAAGAGATCGGTATCGACGGCAGGTCGTCCGGCGCTGCAGGACACCCGTTGTGCTAGCGTCAGGCCGCGCAGGTGCCTCGGCACTCTCGTCTTTCCCCTGATAAAGTAATCGAGTGCTCAAGATCGCTCGGTGCGGCTGTAGCTAAATTGCGGAATTGGGGGAGGGACTTGTGCGAGCTAGTGGAGATGCTTTGTCGCGCGAAGGGGAGGAGGTATTCAGATATTGAAGGTAGGTGGGGATCAGCCTCGGAGTGTTGTCGCCTCGACACCAGCTTGGTATGAGCGATAACTAGGAAGGTCGCGGACGTTTAAATGCTGGCGAGGAGTAGGGAAAGCGCTGGTGTTTGCGCCGGAAGCGAGAGCTGACGCCCGGCCGTCGCTGTCGCACCCGCCAGCTCAGGAGTGGCGCTCGTCACAAAGAAGACAGCGCCGCTGTAGGCATCATAGACTCGAGCAGACTTGCGACCCTGCTTGGACTTCATGTCGCCTGAGTTCATCACGAAGGGCGCCCAAGGAAAGTGAACGCTGATACCAGTAGCGATGGATTTTCGTGGCTCGTCGCGCTCTTCCCAGCTGAAGGCCTACAATGCAATGGGCTTCAGTGACCTAAGAGCCACAAAGCGCAGATGTTTGCCCCACCTACAGGGTGGACCAAATACGACTTGACTTGCAACGCCCTCGGCGCTGCGAATCATATTGAGCACGACGCAGCCATGCGAATGAACAACGCGAGCACATACGTTTAAGCGCCGCTCTGGGACGTTCATTGTGCAGAGATTTTCCTGCGTTTCGCGTCGTCTGCGCGCAGGGTTGTCGAGTACATCCAGACCATGTCGCCGATGTTCATGCGGGCACCGATAGAATGATCATCATGACGCTCCGCAACGATTAATTGACGTGCACCTTCACAAGTTGCAAATTAGACAGAGTCTGAGCCGGTGCTTCCTGAGGGCTGAGAAGGGGTGACGCCAAGATGTGGTCGTGAGCATAATGGAGCAACGGAAGCGCGAGAGTCTCTTCTTGGCTTGCGGATGCGCGTCTCGCCACTGGAGGCTCTGATATCTGCGTGAGCGCAAGTTGTCTCAAAGGCGAGTTAGACGTACGAGCTTCGGCACAACGTTGCAGAAATGCACCAGCTTGAGCGGTACAGGGTCGTTGCCCACGAGCGACTTCGTGGTTCTGCTCTTCGATACAGAGGTGCCCCACTCATTACCCACGAGATCCTGTGGCCCTCGAGCTCCAGTTGGCTCTTCTTCCCGTACACATTCTGACGCTGCTCGCGGGCGTTCTGAGACAGGTCGAGTATGGAGGTCGAGAGCTAGTGCATCCAATCGTCCTCCAGTGTACTCCTGAGATCTTTCAATGGAGCTCCTCTTTTCTCGAGCCTTCTGTTGCCCTGTGGATGGCTATCGTCGTCCTAGAGAGCGAGTTCATCCCGGCCGCAGCGCACAGCAGATCACACGCGGGCAAGCCACAGAGAGGTTCGACACTGTACCCAAAGGGGTTGCGCCGTATTCTATCAAACAGCAGCCAATTGAGAGTAAGTACGCATGCGCACCTAAGTCCCAGCTTCGTGCCAATATACTTCTGACCAACGACTCTCCTTCCGGATTGGCGTCTTGAACTTGACAAGCACGGCTCTGGTTGCCAGTCGAGCTCGACGAGCGTATCCAGCGGCATAAGGGCGCTTGAAGGGAGCAGAGAAAGGGGCTGTCGCAGACATCCTCCTGCTGGGACCAGACGTGGTGGCTTGGGGAGCGTGAAGGAGAGCCGGTCGCAGTGTTATACCGGCGGCAACATCCGGAGAGCGAGACAATTTAGACGAAGCATGGAATATGCTTCACATTTGGATTTCTAAAGAAAAGATTACATGGCGACGTCTATCGCAGGGCCCGGCAGAGGCCGACTCATGGCAGAGGTCGAGGAGCAGAAGAGCCAAGTCGGAGTTGGTCTCTGCTCGCCTAAAAGCGCCGGCGGTCCCCGAGCGCCACAAGGCTTCGCCATTTTTGTCGGAGTTTTGCCACCTTCACCTCAGGCCACCTGGGTCTGGGTTGGAGCGTCCACGTCCAGTTCGCTGTCTATTTTGCACGTACCAATTCCGCCGCGCTGCACCCGCCAGCTCAGGAGGTGGCGCGGCCGTTGGGGAGAAGGCAGCACACGATTCTGCCCAGCATGAGTCGGCTGTGGCGTGTCAGGCGAGGTGAGCGTGTACCCTTGGGTTCAGGGCCAGTGAATATTCATCAATATTAATGTATGTGCTTCGCGATACAGCGGCGAAAGGTCGCATGGGTACGTGAGCTACGGTGCATTCTTGTGAAGCAGCTCGAAGCCTCAGACGTCCTTTTGGTTCTCGAAGCAGCTTTCGGTTTTGACCGAGATTTTAAGGTCGACATAGACAATACTCTCTGCAAAGACGTAGATCGAGAAGAGCTACTGGCATTATCCCGCTCACGAACACTATCTGGCTTCAATACCTCATCAGCTATGAGGAGATGCCAGCTTAAACTCGGCAATGTATGCTCGAGATGGATTTCTTCCGCCGTTGCGGAGCGTCCCACACGACTATCCCGTCGGTTTTTACATCCATATCGGCGACATGTTTGAATTTACGGCTCAATGCACATACCATGCCAAGGGAATGAGAGTTTTTGCAAGGTGGTTGTCCGAGAGCGACACCTAAACGTACGTTCGCCTTTTATTTTGCGCACACGAATGTCTCGCACTCAATTCGTTTCGCAGTGCACAATACCTCGCGAATGATGTCGTACTTGGCCTACCGACGAATCGAGCAGATGAATCACGCGTCAAAGACGTTTAAATCGAGAATGTGGAACGCGTCGAGTCGGCAGCTGCGATTCGCAATAGACGCACCGCTGGTGGCCTCGATGTTTGCCTCTCCCGGGCGGCTTTCATTGCGTATTCGGGCAACCTGAAGCCCAGGCAATACCACACGCACCTCTGGTACCTGCTGCGACGCCATGTCCCTACGACAACTATTATGCCCGACCCTGCGGATAGAATGGAGTCAACATCACCTCTCGCTCTCTCCGCTCGCAGGTCCATGCCTTCCCTGCCCCTAAAGAACGATTTCTCTCCTTGGATCCCAATGATCGTTTTTCTCGAGGCCGTAACGAGACGACGACGCTCCAAAGTTGATCCCCACCTCTGATACTCAAACGCCTCTTGCTCCTCTTCCTCTTCCGCGACGCTGCGCCCCTGCCCCACGCCCCAGACACGGCAGTATCCAACTGTCGTTCGCACTCCGAGTTGACCAGTGGAAAGGCGGAGACCACAGGCACCTGACCAGCACGGCTCAAACACACTACGCATGGTGAACACACGTGGGGACCTCGTATCACCGAGTGTTCTATCGCATACACACATTTCTGCTGTGCTCGTCGCGGCAGGAAGGCAGGGTACCGCCTGATCCCCGCTTTTCGCAGTCGCACCTTGCACAACAACCGGTGACGACAAAGTCGAACGCCACTGGAAAGGGCAGAACCAAGCGCTGATCACTCGCGCTCGAGAACCTCAAGATCGACTGCAGCTAGTTTGCGCGGGGTATCATTTCAGGACTGTGGTGGCCTCGCTTTGTGTGGTCGTCCGCCAGCAGGCCTCCCTGTCTGCTGGCTTGGCTGAACGCCCGCCATCTCACGACTTTCGCAGCTTTCGTTGGCCAGGCGGTCCAATGTTACGATAGCTATGTAACGACATGCTCGCCGGCATGTCCCACCAGTGCACGGTGCCCGGCGGCCATACGCGCATGAATCCGTCGCGGTGCAGAATGGGCTGCGACCCCACAAAGGTATGGAGCCCCCAGTATATGCATTAATGCGACTGGCGTATGACGAGCAGTGGTATGGCACAGGCCGACGGTGCGTACGGGGCGACCGCAGGCCGTAGGCGGCATCGTCGGCTCAGGTCCTCAACAACTTGGGCGCGTCGAGCAGGGCAAGGGAGGTAGCCGGCAGGTACAGCAATGGTGCGCGGAATGAATGCGAGGTGTTCGCTTTTCGTTGTGTGTTGCGAACTGTACATCGTGTCTTCTCTTCCTAATGTTCTACTGCCGATTGGCAATTGCTCGTAGGTAAACAATTATATTGTGAATCTCCACACATGTCTACATGAGTACTTAGCATGTGCGACACACATCAGGAAACACTGTTTGGCGCCATAGTGGGGGCTTCACTACCGGAGCGTCCGAAGCGTCTGAAGCTAGCGGCGCGCGGAGCTGCCCGCCGCATAGCATAAGGAGTTGCAGTAGTGGCATTGGAGTAGAGGCTCACCTTCTGTTTTCATTATAGCCACAATTACTCATTTTGTAGTAATATAATGATTTCTGTAACCAACTAGCTAGTACTACAGTCGTTCAGAAAGTCCGCACACGAGAATGAGACACTACTTTGTGCGGGCGCTTGGAGCAATGCACGACTGTCCAAGTCTGTCAACGCTGGCCCTAAACTGATGGCGCTATTGGTTCGTTGCCACGTCGTTGTGTCTCAGTTCTTCTCCCATCCTTAGCTCTGCCCTGCGATGACGAGTAGGTGATATGCTACAAGCAAAGTAAGTGTTCTGAGATTGAAGATGGGCTCCGTCACTAACTACTTTT